CTTTCAGTTCAAATTGTAAATATGACACTCAACATACAGGTATGTTACCCAGATGAGTCAGAGGACTTTTAAGAGCACTCAGAATTAGTTTGCCCTTTTGCCTATTCAAGCAGCATATATTTATGAAGTGTCTTCTACTCGCAAAGCATACATTCTGGGAGGAGTGCCATAAACAAATTTAAATCCTTCAACCTTGACCAGTGCTTGCATTTGCCAGATGGATTACTGTATAAAGTAACAATCAGCATAAATGATGATTGATTACAGTTTGGTTAGAGAACTCCGAGTGTATTGGGCAAAGGTGAAAGTGGGAATGCAAAGTGACTGAGCTGATCTCAAAGGAAATTGAGTTGGCAAAGAAGTTGGGAAGGTCTTTTTTAAGTTTAAATTTTATTTTATGTAAAGATTGATTTTATGTGTGTTAGTGTTTTGTCTGCATATATGTATCTGCATGATATGTGTGCCTGGTACTCATGAAGATCAGAAGAGGGCTTTAGATTCCCTGGAACTGGGGTTACTGCTGTTTTAAGAACACCCTTGGTACACGCCTTTAATCTCAGCACTTGGGAGTGAGAGGCAGGAGGATCTCTGTGAGTTTGAGGCTAGCTTGGTCTATTAAGCTAGTTCTAGAACAGCCAGGGCTGACACACAGAAAAACCTTGTCTCTAAAAACAACAAACAAAAAACCAGCCATGTGGAGCTGGAGACATGACTCAGTGGTTAAGAACACTTAGTGTTTGTGCAGAAAACCTAAGTTCAACTCTTGAACCCACATGGGGCTCTTTATAACTCTAGTTCAACGCCGGGTGTTGGTGTCGCATGCCTTTAATCCCAGCACTCTGGAGGCAGAGACAGGTGGATCGCTGTGAGTTTGAGGCCAGCCTGGTCTCCAGAGCGAGTGCCAGGATAGGCTCCAAAGCTATAACTCTAGTTCAAAAGAATCCAGTGCCTTCTTACTTCCCCAGGCACCAGGGACACATGTGATACATATATTACACCATGCAGGCAAAACACTCAAACACATAAAATTTTTAAAATCTTATCAAGTCAGGAGGTGGTGGCTCACGCCTTTAATCCCAGCACTCAGGAGGCAGAAGCAGGCAGATCTCTGTGAGTTCGAGGCCAGCCTGGTCTCCAGAGTGAGTGCCAGGATAGGCTCCAAAGGTACACAGAGAAACCCTGTCTTGAAAAAACAAAAACGAACAAACAAAAAAGAAAAATAAAACAAACAAACAAAAAATCTTATCAAACAGGTGGATTTCTGTGAGTTTGAGGCAAGCTTGCTTTACATAATGAGTTCCAGGACAGCCAGGGCTACACAGAGAAACCCTGTCTTGAAACAAAACAAAACAAAGGAAGAAAGGAATATAGATTTCTAGAACATCCAGGGCAACACAGAGAAACCTTGTGTCAAAAAAGAAGAAGAAGAAGAAGAAGAAGAAGAAGAAGAAGAAGAAGAAGAAGAAGAAGAAGAAGAAGAAGTCAGCTAGCTGGTGGTGGTGCATGCCTTTAATCCCAGCACTAGAGAGGCAGAGGCAGAGGCAGAAGCAGAGGCAGGGACGGCG